ATATATATATACATATATACATACATACATATATACATATATATATACATATATACATATATACATATACATGTATATATTTACTGCTATGTATTGATGTTTATATCTTTACAATAAAGGAAAGCTTAGGAACAACCTGTGGATTTTCTCCATGTCTTGCTCCTGTGAATCATTGATGTTTAAGAGGAAGAACAGATTCTTTCCTGCCTCAGTTTTCAGTCTCCATAACAGAAGTCCAGTGAATAAAATCGTTAATTGTTCATTCTGAATCCTGGCTCCTCACCTGGGTCTCCCTCTGCATCAAGGAGTTTTCCAACCAGCTGCTCATATTCTGTGCCCACCTGGAAGTTAGCACTGCTGCCAGCAGCCACCGTCAGGTGATACAGCCAGGTGTCCTGCAGAGACAGTCACAGTCACTGTTAGTGTTATGGTCTGGGTCCACTTCCTGTCGACCTCCAGACCCTGTACCTTCTCCTGCTTGGTGCCGATCAGCAGGTACGTAGGACTCTGCTCTCTGGGCTGCACCACTAAGGTGCAGTGGGAGGAGAGAAAACCACGACTTCCTGCTTCATAGTCCTCGTCGGAGTCACATGATCGGTCCACCTCCTGCACCGAGGCGTCCCTCATCTGCAGCTGACCCAGAGGCAACTGAAAAAAAGTTTGAGGACCATCCTGTAAATATAAGGACTGCAGACCAGAGAAGTGTCGTTGAGGAAGGACAGGGGACAGAGAGGCTTGTTTTGTTCACCTTGTCCTCCTGGTTGCGATAGTAGTAGAAGATTTTCCCAACCAGGGAACACCAGACCAGTTTGGAGTGTCCATGTTTGACCTGAAAGAGAAAGAATTTGGATATTTTGACCACATGTCATGAAGTTCTGGCCACACTTTTCCTGAGGCACCAAACATCTAGCCACTTTTGGTGCTGTGCAGTGGTTGTCCTTCAGCAAATTACCGATCACTTGCCTTACTAGCATTATGTAGAGAATACCTAGTGTAATGTTAATCCTGCTAGCTACACTGCTAGCATGACTGTCATTTCTCTCTGTTAATTTCAGCCTTTATTTTGGCAATATTTTATACAATGGTGCTTCAATTGTCAGTTTGTGTCCAATGTTTCATTGTTTTTTAAGTTAGCTTTTAAAGCTATCTTCGTGGTCACTCTGCTAACAATTTGAGTGTTCTTTTTACTAACTATGTTGTTGCACTATTAGCTCACTAACTAATTTTTTAGCTATTTCTGGCACAGGGTGTTGTTGCTAATTATTTAGCCCTACAATGCCTTGCTGTGCTGCTGTTATTTGGTCGTTAGTTGATAACAGATATTTATAGATTTGTCTTCTTAGTTGATAACAGATATTTATAGATTTTTCTTCTTTTTTTTACGCTCCTGTACAGATCATTTATCTTTTTAAGCTAATCTGTTTACTGTGAACTTTGACCCACATACTTTATTTAATCTACCTATGTTTTTGGCAACGTTAGCGTTGCCATTTAAACGTGTTTGTTGTTAGTAAACATTTTTACTACCTTACTAACTAGTTTGTCACAGTTGTGTTGACATTTATCAATGACCACCTCGGCTTCTGCTCTCAGAAATAATAGGAAACAGATTTCCACATGTGACCAGCAGATGTCAGACTGTGTGGGTGTTTTATTCACCAAACTGGAGCTTTTTAACACAAGTACCACAAAGATCCAGACTCATAAAACCGATCTGGCTTGAACTCCTCCAACATCCAACATCACGGTCTTAAACCCTGATCTTTTCATGAATGAATATGAAAAGTAGCTGCACTGTCACTGGAGGAGCCTGAACATGGAGCCAGCGGCGCCTCCCTCAGACCAGGTCAGTGAGGTTAACTGTGCAGAGAGACACGACAGCCCAGGGCTGAGCCCACATCACTGCCTAACCACTGATCAAAGACAGCCGGCAGGGAGACGTTTGAGGGAGGACGTGGACTCCATCATCTCTCCTTAAGGCTGTCACTCATCTGTCAGAGAGCTGTCACACACAGCTGTCAAATGTCAAATGTCAGAGTAGAAGATACAGAGAACAGGGAGAGATGGAAATCAATGATCTGCTGTGGCAACCCCTGAAAAAAAAGGGACAAAGCCGAAAGAAAAAGAAGAAGAAAAGAAGAAGAACTCCAGCAGCAGCCTGAGGTCCAGGCTGAGGACTGAACCAGAGACAGGGGTGAGGACAGGGAGGTCAGGGGTTCCTGGTCTTTAAGACACGTCCCAACATGAACGGAGTTATTAAGAATCAGCCGTTAAAAACCTCTGATGACAGACGCTTCCATGACGAAGATGTTAGGTCCTCTCCTCTCCTCTCCTCTCCTCTCCTCTCCTCTCCTCTCCTTTCCTTTCCTTTCCTTTCCTTTCCTCTCCTTTCCTCTCTTCTCCTTTCCTTTCCTTTCCTTTCCTTTCCTTTCCTTTCCTTTCCTTTCCTTTCCTTTCGATTCCTTTCCTTTCCTCTCCTTTCCTCTCTTCTCCTTTCCTTTCCTCTCTTCTCCTTTCCTCTCCTTTCCTCTCCTTTCCTTTCCTCACCTCCCTCCTCTTCTCTTCTCAATATCTCCTTCAATTCAATGCAATACCAATACCATATAATACCAAACCATACTGCACTGTACTGTACTATACTGTACTATACTATACTATACTATACTACACTACACTATACTATACTATACTATACTACACTATACTATACTATACTACACTACACTATACTATACTATACTATACTACACTATACTATGCCATGCTATACTACACTACACTACACTACACTACACTACACTATACTACACTATACTACACTACACTACACTATACTACACTATACTATGCCATGCTATAGTGTACAACATGCCACTACAAATCACCCAGTAAAACAGTTGAATGTTGATTGTAACAGACCTTTGTGAGCCAGCCTCTGACTGTGGGCTTGGCCATGGTCTCCACACAGAGCGGACTACTGGCCTGGACCTTGAGTATGTTTTGCAGAACCCTGATCCACTCCTCCAGGATGTTGGGTGAATCAGCAGTTAGGTAGAAGGTCTTCTTCTCTGTGATCAACTGTTCCAAAAAAAGAAGAAGGTGAAAATATGGGAAAAATGCTGAAGACAGGCCTTCAGAGATAGCATCACGGTCATCGTATCAGAGCAGATGGCAATCAGCCCCTGAAGAGCCGGGAAAACATTCCAGTCCACTGGTACACCTGATGTCATCTTGAGCTGCTTCTGTGGAATGCTGCAGAAAAAGCTCTGCAGTGACGCAAGGCTGCACTAGGACCAGTGTGAACGCTCACAGCTGCCGCTGGATGTTAGCTTTTCACATCGCTGAGCTAAGAAAAATAAAATTACTTCTGGAAAATAATAGTGACAATGAGCAGAACAATTCCGACTCTGCTTGTGTTGGATTAGGATTAAAGAAATTAAAGTCATGGTGAGGTTTTTCCACTCACTTGAAACGTCTGTGCTCCTTCTCCCCGTATGATCCGACAGGAAGAGTTGAGCTCAATTTGACCCTGAGGTTTCCTGATCACGTCACTCTGAAAAACAAGTATATATACTGTATATAAACATTAGGAAAAATAAGATATACACGTTGACATAGGTCTGATAGTCTTTTATTTAACCATTCACTATAGCAACATTTTGTTAGCCTTTAGCTTTTTTAGCTATTTTCTGGCTAACTTTTAGCCCTTTTTGAGATGACAAGGCTAATTTGGTTTTTAATTTTGGTCTATTATCCTGTTGTCATTATATTGTTGGCTAATACATAGTTATTTAGTAACTTTTGTCTTTTTAAATGTTTATTTGTGGGCAAACAGTGGTTTCTTATCAATATTGTTTACCTTTTTTGCTAGTTTAAGGCTAATATGAACTCTTTTTAACTAACTTTTTAAAATATTTTTGGTTTAAAAATTATTTAGTTGCAGCTGTTTGTGTGTTAAGTCATTTATTAAGTCTGAGGTAATTTAGTTACACCTTTAAGTTACCACATTCGTATTAGCTCTTCAAGCTAACTTTTCCCTTCTGATCTATTATGTTAGTATCTCCAATTTTTTTTATTTTCACGGGGGCATTTTAAACTAGCTGCTGAATTACTTCTATCGGAAATTGTCATTTTAAAGCATTTCATTAAATAATTTCGTTTTTTTTTTAGCATGTTGCGTACAATCCTGTGCTATTTCTGAGCTAAATTACAGCTAATTCTACAAAGGTCTCACTCACAGGAGATTTGTAGTAGAGAATCTCTCCATTCCTGAGGATGAACCAACGACGCTTCCAGGCCTTGACCTGACTGCCCATCTTCAGCAGGTAGCCAGATTTCTCCAGCATCTCCTACACACACACACACACACACACACACGCCGACAGAGAAGCTCGGATCACCTCCACCCATCATGTTCATACTGAGCATGCTCCTACAGTGTGTACGTGTCTCAGGGACGAGGTCAGTACTCACAGATCCAGTACTTTCACAGGAGTAGGAGGAGGTTCTCTGGACTTTATGCTCTGGCTCAGAGTAGTCACTGTCCAGTGAATAGGCGTCAGGAGGAATGGCATAGTCGCTTTCAGAGCTGATGGAGGACATGGACACACCTGCAGTACAGAAGAGAAGATGAGAAATTAAAATCAACGTCCAAATCTTTTAAAAATATTTAGCTGAATTATGGACGTATTAAATTATTTTGTGTACACTTTTTATTTTGTAAATATAAAATATTTTCAATTAGTTTTGACATTTCCAGGCAGTTTCCAGGCAGAACATTATGGGTTTCCAGGCAGTTCACTTCTTGTAGCCGTTTTGCCGTTCTTTAAGAAATTTCAAGGTATTTATTCAGTATCTATAACTAATGGTTTGGTAAATGTCACTAACTTCCTGTTATTGATGCAGTTCATGTGATTAACATGTATATTTTTTTGTGTTCTTCCCTGAACATTTTGTCTTTTTCTCCACAAAGTCTGTAAACATTTTTGATCAGACTAATTGACATTTCCTTAACACGCTAACACTTCCACCAGATAGTAACTTGTTAACTCGTCCAGCCCTAGTGTGTGTGTTTATATTTCAGCCACTTCTTTCTGTAGATTAAAACCGATGGTTGTTACCTCTCTTGACCGCACGTGGACTCCCTGGGACGCTGCCCTTCCTCTCCGGGCTCAGCGTGGATGTCCGTAAACTGGCCAGAGAGCTGCTGTCGTCCTCTGACCCCGAGTCGTCGTCAGGCAGCGGCACACTGCTGATCTGAGTGGCTTTCTGAAACATTTCACAGCTGGTGAATTAACTAACGGTGAGTTACACAACATTCACTTCATATATATAGATATATATATTTATATGTATATGTGGTTGCCTCACCCCCTTCAGTGTGGTGTAGACTGGAACATTAATGTTCTTGTAGATCAGCTGAGTGAATGGACCTGCTGCAGGATACTGAGGTGAAGCAGAGCCTGAAACACACACGGAGGAAACGCTCAGATTCACTGCGTCCACAAAACACTACAGAAGTTCTTGTCATTTAACCACAGAAACTCTGAAGAGTAAAAGTCCAGAACTGTTCTTTACCACAGCTTTTAGGATTCAAACGTTCAACCTCCCATGACTCCCTGTGCAAAGGATTGTGGGTGCTTCCACTGGTGTGACGATACACGACATGCATCCTTGTAAATTCTCTGAGGGAACTGATCTTTCCCTCAGAGAATTTGAAAAACCCATTCGCCTGGGAAACCCCCTCTGTGGGGATTAGTGGAGCGGAGTCCAGCCACTGGAGGAACGGTCAATATATATTTAAGAACCACCGAGGGTTTTGGAATATGTGGCTCGGGTTTTTTTTAAGTCACTAAAAAACCTGATTGGAAAACAATTGGAAAACAGTTCTAATGTGATCCAGCCATAATCCCCAGTGTGAGGTCGTGATGATTGAAGCGTCCTGTTACAAAGAGGTGATTGGTCCGTGACATGATAGGACTGATGACTTTACCATGTATGTTTTCTCAGGTGCTACAGAGGAGAAAACGTTTGAGAACCACTGCTCTATATTAGAAAATAATAAATATATTATTGTATTTTATCAGCCACATTTGGACAAATCAGTTAAAACATTCTAACGTAAGAGACTTCCCCCCCCCCGATCCCCCCCCCTCCCCTTCCAGTCTGGATTCTCTTGTTGTCTTCCTAACTGTCATCCGTTTGGTTTAAGGCTTCACTGTAGTTTAGATTGTTCCAGAAGCCTCAGGAAGATCTTCCTTTGTTAGAACAGTGTAAAGCACATAGTGAACTTCACCGGAGGAACCTCTGCAGAAGGACGGGCTGAGAGTGATGTAGACTGACCTCAGGTCTGTCTGAGAGCACACGGAAAAAATGATGACCTGTTTATGGAAGTGATTCTATTTTTGGGAACTATTATCCTGTAGGAACAGTAGAACCTTAACGCACAACACACACACACACGTGTGTGTGAGAAGAGAGAATCTGCTGACCCAGCAATGACTTCATTCCCATCAGTCCTTTGGCTGTCGGCGCCCTCTACCTGGCAGCGAGGAGAACCTTCGACCTTCAGGGAGCTGTCGAAGCTCACTGTCTGCAGACCGACAGATGGATGAAGTCGCTGCACGGAGCGCGGCCGTAATTACCCTGCAACCACCTCCTCTCTCTGCTCCCCTCGTCTGACCCCCCCAGCCCACATGTGCACAGGTGTGTGTGAGTGTGTGTGTGTGTGTGTGAAACCTCCAGACAAAGGAAGTGACATCAAAGCATCAGTGACAGACCCGACCACACACTGCACCCACACTCAGGTTTTAAGTATCAGCTGAATGACACACGTGTGTGTGTGTGTGTGTGTGTCAGGTGTGTGTGGTTCCTCAGATCTGATTGGTCCTCAGTGAACATGACTTCAGCTCTCAGACATCTGGACGTGAGTGTGATGAACAAAAGACTTTCATGTTTTTGGCTGCAGCCGACCCACCTCGTCCTGGGCCCCTGGATCCAGGACCGGCCTCAGAAACCCTCATTCCTGACTTGGCCACAGCGTAGATACGACTCTCCTGTGGAAACGGAAAAAAAAGTCGAAAGTGAAAACTTTAACATCTTTAACATCGGATGTCTGGCTTTCAGATCAGTCCTGGCACCTGGATCGGTTCTACACGGTCCAAGACCTCTTCCTGAAAACGGAGCAACTGCTAAATTTAAACTACTTTTACGGTGACTTTTACTTGGCTTCTTGCTAATGTGTTAGCAATGGATTTCGTTTTTTGCTAACCTGTGGC